GAGTTGAGCTTTTATTTTTTTCATCCAGTGTCTTCAGTAGAAAGAGAGAGACACGAAGAAACGATAAAGCCGATAAAAGAAAATGAGGTTGATAATTTTCATTCATCATGCGATTAATTGATTTATTGTGACAGGCCTAACCATTATACAAGTCTTCATTAGTATCTTTAGTAAGTTTTGTGTCAGCTGCACAGTCACATCTTAGCCTTCATTACTCAAAGCCTGGAAGGATTTTGGTAGTTCTTGTCCTCCACATGAACCTGTCCCTTGTTTTCATTTGGCCTTATGTGCGAGACACCAGCACTCACAAGATGTCCACTGAGACCTTGCATTAACTACCGGTAATGTCTTACATTAGGACATGTTTAATTGGAAGACCATATCTAAAATGTAAGATGACTGAAAAAAAAAGTGAAAGAAATTGTTAATTTGCATATTTCTGTGTTTATTGAGAATTTTGACACGATTTAAAAAAAAAAAATATATATAATTCAACTTGGTCTTTTTTGCCACTTTTAAACTAAGATAGTCTTATTGTGAAACACAACAGTAATAGAACACAAAGTTTGTTTTCTCAGTCATCCAGGTATATAACAACAAAAAATAACAGTAATAGCCATTTTTGTGGTGTAGTGGTTGGAGCTGTCACCTTTCAGCCATACATTTGCAACATCACCTCTTGGCGATCCACTCCCGTGGAGTTTGCATGTTCTCCAAGTACTCTGCCACCCACAGACGAAAAACATGCACCTTAGATTAACTGGTGACTCTAAACTGTCCCTAGGTGTGGGTGTGAATGGTTGTTTGTCTTGTTTGTCCCCATGAGGCCCCTACATGACTGACCTGCGACCTGGAAAGGAAATGCAGGAAAATAAAATAAATGGATAAATGGCTATTTTGGTCAGATGTTGTCAGTGGTGTTTTTTCTTGATCTCTTGAAATTTTGTGTGACCTTGCAAGATCTGTTAGCTCTCAGAATATGTTGCTGATGTCGCACCAAATTTGAGCTCATATGCTGTAAAAATCTGAGTTTCAGCCTTTTTCATGTTCACTAACATTGATTGGCGGCTGTCTTGAATTGGGCTTACTCTAAAAATGAACGCGTTTAAAGATGTACATCCAATGATTATTTTCTGAAGGTTTCCTTAAATCTGCTTACTGGATCATGAGACATTTTGCCAACAGAGTTGCAGGCACAAACGTTATTGCCGTCTTGCCTTCAGTGCAAGTGTTAAAGGGTTTGAAGGCTTCTAGCAGAACTGGCACAAACTACACCATCAGTTTCTGACAAGCAAGAAATGAGCTGGAGTTCCGGCACCTCCAGATGTTCTGCTGGACGTACCAGCCATCTGCTGTTGTTTCCACATGGCGGCTGAGATGACGGCAGTGAGGGATGGCTGGTTGAGGTTTTTGTCCATCTTCTGTCAGCACGCTGTCCAACACTGCTTCCTCAAACCCCGACAGCAGCTTGTGAAGACGTGTTGCAGTGCACTCCCCCGAGGAGTATCTGACGTCTACCGAGACCTGACTTCTCTCCTGGTTAGCTCTCCATTTCACACCTCAGTGCCATTTCTTTTTCCATCCAGGAGGAAAGACTGTGTGCCGATTTTTTAAATGTATACTCGCGTGGAGATGAAAATAGCACCTGCGTGTTTTTGTCTTTTTTTTAATTTTTTTATTGAACGCTCACACACTCTCACCCAGCCTACAGACAACAGCTTTGTGCTACACACAGTAGTAAAGAGATGTGCATTACTACATAATGGATTCTTTGTTTACATTTCATTCCAGTGATGCATGAAGTGTAAACAGTTTTTAATGGGGCTGTGTCCCAGAACAAGTGGTGTTCACTAACCTCTATACTTTTAAAAAGTACATAAAGAGAACCCAGTTAAACAAACGAGACAAAAATATTATACTTGGTCATTTATTTATTGAGGAAAATGATCCAATATTACATATTTGTGATGGTAAAAGTAT